CTCTACTTGACGATTGGTCTTGCGCATCAGCCATGTTTGTAGTTTCTTTACACTTTTCCACCCGAGTTTGTAGTTTAAATGGAATTCACATCCAACATGCAATGCATTGTGGGCGATATTAGCAGTTAGAGTACAGACGCTTCTACACTTTGAATTTCTACCGGAAAAAGTAGACCATCCGGGAACCTTTGGCACACTCTTTTCAACATACTACAGTTTAGGATATACTAATTCTATTTTCAAATACTATTTAGGATGGATGGAACCAGCACTGGAAATGGTTTGAATGGTTTGAAAACGCTGCAAGTCAACAGTAAAATGAGCCTCTAGGCAGATTCAACTTCGATAAGTGGTTAGTTTCCTGACGTAATCATAATAGTGCGGTTTCTGGAAATGGACGCTGCTTCCATTAGACTCAATGTGATAGTGATACTGCAAAGAGCCGGACTACACATCATCATCATCCGTTATCATCAAACACTTAAGCCTGCATTACAGCTGCATGACAATAACAGCATTACGATTGCTTCGTGGCCCTTACAGATTCAATCATATTTACAGATGAAGTCACAGTTATTAGCTTTGAATTATTATTTTTTTTCTTTTTCCGGATTTTTCACAGAGCAAGAATTTTTTCACAGTATTTCTTATAATATTTTTTCTTCTTGAGAAAGTCTTATTTGTTTTATTTTGGCTAGAATTAAATCAGATTTTACTTTTTTAAAAACCATATTAGGGTCAATATTATTAGCCCCCTTAAGCAATTTTTTAATCAATTTTAGTCTACAGAACAAACCATCATTATCCAATGATTTGACTAATTACCATAACTTGCCTAATTAACATAGTTAAGCCTTGTAATGTCACTTTAGGCTGAATACTAGTGTCTTGAAACATATGTAGTCAAATATTATGTGTTCATCGTGGCAAAGATAAAATAAATCAGTTATTAGAAATTATTTATGTTTACAAATGTGTTTAAAAATCTTTCCTTTAAAGAGAAATTGGGGAAAGAAATATATATATATAATAAATCTGACTGTATATTCGCAAAACTACATGCAGATTTTCAGTAGATTGGATGTTTGTATTGTTTCCGAGAGGGCTCTGAAAGGAAGCAGACTGTCAAGAGTATTTCCCAGAAATGAGTTAGCTCGTTTATTGTGACTGGAAAATAGAGAGCATGATTGGAAGAAATGTATTGGCTGCTTCACAAAACATAGTGAGCTGCCAAGCAAGACAAGATTTGTTGGGGGGAGGGGGGGGGGGGCATCACTGATACATTAAGATATTACGATGTTTCCACTGGATATCTATACATCTCAAAAGGTGGAATATCAGTACCATACTTTGGTGACACAATGATCCAGTCCTAAAGACATAGTTCGCCCAACAATTACTATTTACTCACTATTTACTCCAAACCAGTTTCTTCTGTTAAACACAAAATAGGATCTTGTGATCAAAGCTAAAAACCTTTAGCCCATAACAAATTCTATCAAAGTCAATCCGCTTGTTAAGTGTGGAAATTTTGTATAAATTGTTAAATATTTGGTATTTGTTATGCAGCAAGCCCAGAGATTGTTGTGTACACTATGATTTTATATAAAATTAACTTTAATGTGTGATAGGAATAAAACGTGATCATAAACGAATGATTTCTCCACTCAAATGAATGGCGGCTTGGACCCGGAAACAGTATTACATACGTCACAAACACGTCACCACTTAACAAGCGGATGGTTACAAGTTTCCAGCATTCTTCAAAATAGCTTCTTTTGTGTTCGACAGATAAAAGAAACTGAAAGAGGTTTAAAAGTATATTTAAGATTATAGAGGACAGTGTGAATTCAAAACATATTTTGTCAAGATGCATTGATATTAAAAGTGCAAAATTTCTGGAAATTCATCTTTATCGAAATGCAAAAGAGAGATGCTAATGGTCTAATTGGATTCAATTAGCTATGCTAAGCTAAGCTAAAAGTACTCCCGCCAGACCTAGATGGATTAAAAATGTTAAAAGTCAACTGTTAAACAAGCATATTTCCAAATATAAAAAAGTGGAGTTTTCATTTAATCTCATCAACCTCGATAAGAGGTTAGTTTTGAAGATAATATTATTAGGTAACATTAAACTTTTGTGAGAGTTTTACTAAAATATAATAAAGGACAGTGTCCATTAAAAACATATTTTGTTAAGATACATTGATATTAAAAGTACAGAATTTCTGAAAAAAATCATTATTATTGAAATGCAAAAGAAAGATGCTAATGGTCTAATCAGATTCAATTATCTATGCTAAGCTAAGCTTAAAGTGCTCCTGCCTGACCTGGATATTGTCTAAATGGATTTAAATGCTAAAAGTCAACTGTTAAACTCTAGGGAAGTTGTAAAAAAGTGGAGTGTTTATTTAATCTCTAGGCAGAATCAACTTTGATAAGAGGTTAGTTTCGAAGATGATTTCATTTGGTAAAATTAAACTGTTGTGAGAGTTTTACCAAAAAGTATACTTAAGATTATAGAGGTCAGTGTGAATTAAAACATATTTTGTCAAGATACATTCATATCAGAAGTACAGTACGTCATTATCGAAATGCAAAAGAGAGATGCTAATGGTCTAATTGGATTCCATTAACTATGTTAAGCTAAGCTAAAAGTGCTCCCGCCAGACCTGGATATTGTCTAAATGGATTCAAAAACAATAAATGTCAACTGTTAAACTTGATGGAAGTTTTTTTTTTTTTTTTTTTTTTTTTTTAAGTGAAGTGTTTATTTAATCTCTAGGCATATTCAACTTCGACAAGAGGTTAGTTTTGAAGATGATATTATTAAAATTAAACTGTTTTGAAAGTTTTACTTAAATGTATATTTAAGATTATAGAGGACAGTGTGAATTCAAAACATATTTTGTCAAGATGCATTGATAATAAAGGTAAAGAAATTTCTGAAAAATCATCATTATCAAAATGCAAAAGAGAGATGCTAATGGTCTAATCAGTTTCAATTATCTATGCTAAGCTAAGCTAAAAGTGCTTACGCAGACCAGGATATTGTCTAAATGGATTCAAAACCTTAAAAGTCAACTGTTAAACTCTAGGGAAGTTGTAAAAAAAGTGGAGTGTTCATTTAATCTCTAGGCAGAATCAACTTTGATAAGAGGTTAGTTTCGAAGATGATTTCATTTGGTAAAATTAAACTGTTGTGAGTGTTTTACTTTATTATATTTAATATTACAGAGGACAGTGCGAAAACATATTTTGTCAAGATAAATTGACATTAAAAGTACAGAATACATTTTATGTATTATCTGGGAAATCATAAGCATTCATGGGTCATAAAACAGAACATTCTTTGCAAAAACATCCTAGTCATTCATATAAAAATTACATAGGCTTCATAGACAACCTAGGAGGTCAGGGAGGGCTTCATTAGTTTAATTACAAGCTGTTCACACGTTGGCCATAAAAAAGTTCATAAAAAAAAAATCCATGCCATAGTTGCCTTCAGTTTGCTCATTAGAGATTTTTAAGGCCCTCGTGAAAACAAAGTGTGCTTGTGTCAAATATGCACTTGAAACAGTACATACCTTTCTAAAAACTGCACATAATTAAAATAAAGATTACTTCAATATATGGAAGATGTTTAAGTTTAGCGCGACCACGTCCATCCCTTTATGACCACAGTGTGCCCATCTTCTGATGGCTACTTCCAGCAGGATAACGCGTCATGTCATAAAGCGCGAATCATCTCTGGTTTCTTGAACATGACAATGAGTTCACTAAACTCAAATGGCCTCCACAGTCACCAGATATCAATCAAATAGAGCACCCGTTGGGGTGTGGTGGAACGGGACATTCAAATCATGCATGTGCAGCCGACAAATCTGCAACAACTGCGTGATGCTATCATGGAATGTTTCCAATACCTTGTTGAATCTATGCCACGTAGGATTAAGGCAGTTCTGAAGGAAAACGGGAATCCAACCTGCTACTAGTAAGGTGTACCTAATAAAGTGGCCAGTGGGTGTATTTTAATTATATCTGATCTCTGCTCCTATAACTTTTTGATGTTCAAAAGTTTAATAAAGCGACTTTTGTCGATGATTTTAAGTAGTTTGAAAAAAAAAAGAAAGTCTGCGACGATCACATAAAAATATGAAGAATTTTTTAAAATGTAATGAGATAATATCTTTCCTGCTAATAATTGATTTATTTTAATATATTATTGGACATACAATATATTGTAATAAATATAGGCTTTTTAAAGTAAAAAATGTAACATTAAACGTTAAGATCAGAGATCAGGGTCTTGTTATGAATCATTTATTTGAAAGTGTAGACAAACAGAAAACTCCTGTAAATCACAAGCTAAAAGTAACTGTTTTTTTTATTTATTTATCCATCCTATTTTACAAGTAAGCATTTTATTCCATTATACATTATTATTAAACATTATTTTAAGTACGCTCGGTTTAAAAGTGTACTTCACACGGGCTAAACGTGCTTTGACACACTGAGTGACAAGTGCTATTTATGAAAAACGACTTGACAAGACTTTACAAACAATTATCAAACTGTTACACTTTTTTCAGCCACTAATCACTTTTGAAGCAAAAAAAAAATTATATTTATCGTCATAGTCTGAGACACATGGACGCGCTGCCTTACATCAGGATCTCCGTTGCCAATCAGGCAGCCAATTCAATTACACACCATTAAAACAAACGTGCTTCCACTCGTTATAATTCTCTTATTCGCGTTCACGACCTAAACACGTTTAATAAACAATATTTCTCGAGTACAAAGAAAAGTCAAGGGCGTAACTGTTTACGTTAACGGTCATTTCACGGCGGCAATAATAAACCGAGCACAAACCATGACGAGCGCGTCACCATCACTCCCTATAGGCGTCTTCCAGCTAAACAAACGCAAACCCTGTCAACAATATACCGCTTATTAGTCATCACCTGGATGCTGGATACATGTTTATTAGTCACTACCTGGATGCTGCAGGAGATCTCGGAGTCGTCGAGCAGCCGGACGGTGCACTGGAGCTCCAGCGCGAGGGAGGAGAGGCTCGGGCTCCGGAATCGAAGCATTTTCATGGCTCTCGGTCCCGCATAGCAAAGCGAGAGTTCGCCTTTGGTTTTGAAGAGGACGGAGCGTCGGTCACGCGTGGCTCATGTCGCCAGAGATGTGTCGTTATGACCGGGAGAACGAGCCCCCTTTTCTTTTTCGCTCTCTCCCCCCTCCCTCCCTCGTGAACGCGCGAGCGAACCACCCTCCATCACAGATCAGCAGCTTCGAGCTTCACCTGTCATCATCAACACACTCAGTGAGTTCCCATAACAACGAGTGATACCGCGCAGTTCACGCTGAAATGACATAGTTTTATTGGCTTTTTGCATTGAAGTCTTCATCTATCTATCTATCTATCTATCTATCTATCTATCTATCTATCTATCTATCTATCTATCTATCTATCTATCTATCTATCTATCTATCTATCTATCTATCTATCTATCTATCTATCCTGTTCTGTTCTGTTGTATTACTATAGAATTATCACAACAGATTGAACCTATAGGATATATCACACTCACCGGCCACTTTATTAGGTACAACTGTTCAACTGCCCATTAATACTAATTCCTAATCAGCCAATCACATGGCAGCAAATCAATGCATTTAGGCATGTAGACATGGTCAGGACGATCTGCTGCAGTTCAAACCGAGCATCAGAATGGGGAAGAAAGGTGATTTAGCCTAAGTGGCTTTGAACATGGCATGGTTGTTGGTGTCAGACAGGCTGGCTAACCCTGTTCCTGGAGAGTCACCTTCCTGCAGAATTCAGTTGCAACCCATATCAAACACACCTGCCTGTAATTATCACGTGGTGTTCAGGTCCTAATTAATTGGTTCAGGTGTGTTTGATATGGGTAGCAACTGAAATCTGCAGGAAGGTGGCTCTCCAGGAACAGGGTTGGCCACCCCTGGTGTAGGGTTTGCCCCAAGGCAACATATCATCAGTTGTGTACCCCAGCATGACTAAGTGCTTCCGTCCTTTAGATACCCTCTGCTGAGGCCCATCATAGGCTGATGAGACCCGGATGTGTGTCCCATATTCACACACTTTTGACAGTAGAAACGGACATAAATATGAAATATTGAACTGTATACTGGCGACGCAGTGGCACAGTAGGTAATGCTGTCGCCTCACAGCTGGGTCACTGGTTCGAGCCTCGGCCGGGTCAGTTGGCATTTCTGTGTAGAGTTTGCATGTTCTCCCCATGTTAGCGTGTGTTTCCTCCAGGTGCTCTGGTTTCCCCCAGAGTCCAAAGACATGCCGTACAGGTGAATTGGGTAGGCTAAATTGTCCGTAGTGTATGTGTGTGAATGAGAGTGAATGGATGTTTCCCAGAGATGGGTTGCAGCTGGAAGGGCATCTGCTGCGTAAAACATATGCTGGATAAGTTGGTGGTTCATTCCACTGTGGCAACCCCAGATTAATAAAGGGACCAAGCCAAAAAGAAAATGAATGAATGAATGAATGAATGAATGATGAACTGTATACCACTTTTTGGTGCCCCACGCAATAAAACAGTAACAAACTGGTGGAGCAGAAGTGAAGAAAAGCAGTTTTGAGGGTTTTTCATTAAACATTTTTTTTTCTTTGCAAAATAATGCAGTGCACATTCTGCACACATTTTTTACAAGCACTACTATATACACAAAAAATAAAGAGTGAATTCAAGAGTTCACACCAAGCTGATGTTTGATTATAAAGCTTGTTTGGCATGCTGTCCCGGGAGAAAGCCCTGAGCCCATAAGATCCTCAAGCCCAGGGCTCCCTCCTGTTTGTAAGGCGAGAGGGGAGTTTAAGCTAAAGTAGATCTCGAGAACTCCCCTGCTGTAGTAGCTAATGAACAGATAGTGATTGCTCTTAAGAGATAACTACTTACTAGGAGCATGTCTATGGTGCCGATTTGGATTAGTTAATTAACTTAAGTTGCATGCTTTTGGACGGTGGGAGGAAAATGGGGAACCCACATGAGCATGGGGAGGACGTGTAAACTCTGCACAGAAACGTCAGTTGGCTTGGTAAGGACTAGAACCAGTGACGTTCTTGCTGTGAGGCAACAGTGTTAACCACTGGGCCACCGTGCCACCCATCTAGGAAAGGAGGAGTAGGGGTGGATTCTTCAAAATGAAGATGGCTGTTATATGGAACTTAGGGTATTTATAGTGGCTTAGGAATCGTCTGATTAGTGAATCATAAATTGGATAATGTGAGATCAGCCGCAAGCAACCATAAGCACGTGATCCTCTCGAAATAGTTTATAAATAAACTTCTTTGGATTTCATATGACTAAGAAAACTGTGGCTGAAGCCACCAGACAAAGGTAAAAGCAATTGGTCAGACTTTGATTGAAGATTACCAAAGTTTTTTTTTTCAGTGGATTAACTTGTATGGATTAATTGTTCACCTAAACAACAACGTGCATAATCAAAATAAGCATTGTACGTTTTTATTTCACACACAGGCTTTAAAATTGTTAGAGAACTCAACTGTTGCTAAGATTTCTTGGTAGTGCCTTACTTGTGTGCTGACCGGTCTATCCAGGTGCTTGGCGTCAGCTCATAGATGGAAATTGGCCACATAAGACGTGGCAACTAACCAAATTGGAAGCAGCACAGCTTCATCTTTCCCAGAAGGACCTTGTCAACAATTCAAAGTCAAAAAGAATTGTTTTTACTTGTATTACACAGCAAAACATTTACGATTTTCTAACATTTAAAGATGGAGAACAGACCTGTAAGAAGATGCAAGTTCAAGGAACTGGCACACCTCAAACACATTAAACAGTACAGACTGGATACTTTGAAGAACGTTGGAAAACTCTAGCAAATGATGTCCATACTCTGCCTGACAAAAGTCTTGTCGTCGATTCCAGTTTTAAATAACTTGACTTCTAGTTGCTCATTTGGAAAAGTGTTAGAATGGATTTTTGAGTCATCTGTTGAGCTGCATCCCAATCATCACAAATACTGCAGAAGACCTACTAAAAAACCCACGTGGACCCAAGGTTCTCAAAGAAATCAGTCAAGTTCGGTGAAGAAAAAAAAATCATGGTTTGGGGTTACATTCAGTATGGGGGTGTGTGAGAGATCTGCAGAGTGGATGGCAACATCAACAGCCTGAGGTATCAAGACATTTGTGCTGCCCATTACATTACAAACCACAGGAGAGGGCAAATTCTCCAGCAGGATAGCGCTCCTTCTCAAACTTCAGCCTCCACAACAAAAGGTCCTGAAAGTAAAGAAGGTCAAGATGCTCCAGGATTGGCCAGCCCAATCACCAGACTTGAACATTATTGAGCATGTCTGGGGTTAAATGAAGGAGGAGGCATTGAAGATGAATCCAAAGAATCTTGAGGAACTCTGGGAGTCCTGTAAGAACGCTTTCTTTGGCATTCCAGAAGACTTTAAGGCTGATTTATACTTCTGCGTCAAACGCCGGCGTATGCTACGGCGTTGATGCATAGCCCTTCGCCGTAGCCGTCACTGACATGCACCTCTCAAAAAATGTAACTACACGTTGCAACAACGCATAGCGCAAGCTCTGTGACTGGTCGGCTTGGTAGCGCTGATGAGTCTGGGCGGGACCGAGAGCCGCGCGAGCAGCGCTAGAGCAATGGAGCGATAGTTTACAAGTGTGGAGTCCCATGAAGGAGCTCCGGATGGAAAGTTTTGTTTTGTGTTTACCTCATAGTTAAAGTTTTTGCACGTCCGTCGGTTGCTGCCTCAAAATGAGCGAGTTTGAGCCACTTGTACATCCAGGAAGCGTTCAGGAAAAGCAAAACAGCAGCGAAGAAACTCGACACAGAGGAACATTTACACCTCACTGCCAACTAGCATTTCGGAAGTGTTAATGCAGACCAACAGTGACAGCGTGCAGAAGTATAAATGCACAGCTACGCGCGTTGCATGCGCCGTGAGTTACGCCGATCACTTGACGCAGAAGTATAAACCAGGCTTTATTAATAAGTGATTTGAGTCATTGCAGAGATGTATGGATGCAGTCCTCCAAGCTCATGGAGTCAGACACAATATTCATTCTTTCTCCACTGCAGCAGGACTTTATATTCTATACTGGACATTATTACTGTAAAGTGACAAGACTTTTGTCTAAACAAAGTCAGACTTTACTGTCCTACTTAAATAACTCAAAATCAAGGCATGATCATATTTTATTCTGGCTAAATAAGCGTAATCTAGAGGCCTTTGCCTTTCATATAAGCCACTTCTGATACCAAATGGTCAACTAGAAGTCAAGTTATTATTTGTTGTTCCTAAAATTTGGATCGGCGACAAGGCTTTTGTCAAGTAGTGTAGTATTGGTTTGTCCTGTTATAATGGTTACAAGTTTCCAACATTCTTCAAAATGTTAGAAACTTCCATGAAATGTGCAGGGAAAACAAAACAAAAATACATTTTCATACAAATCTCTTTACCATTTTTACAATGCTAGCAGTTGTGAAAAGTTGATTATTTTATCTTATTTCTGTCAGTCTGTCCAAGTATATCCAGCTGTAATCATTATAGATTTATTGAGTGGAGCAAATGGATCGAAGACTGCTACATTCATTAACAATAACGACGCTTAACGAGAATGGAAGGCATAAACCAACAGACTTGGAAAAAGTAGATTAGCATCTTTATTGAAAAGAACTTAAGATTGTTGGCCGTTCAGTCATGGTGCACAGATCAGCAGATTTACTGTACAGCAATGATGAGTGTCCGAATTCTAAAAAAAAAAAAAACATCTGCTGTTTTCAGGACCGAACTATGCAGCAACAAGCAGGAATACGAACACAAAATGTGTGTGGATGATTGTGGTAGTCTGATTAGGAGTGAGTGAGTGGTGTTTTGAACAGATATTACAGATTCCAGCAGCTTGATGGAGGAGGTGGAACATTCAAGCTGTCTGTCCTTTAACATGCGGTTCATACATCCCCTTCTGAGGCTTTTTTACCCTTCCGGTTCCCCTGTAAAAAACAAAAACACACATCAAATGTTGACTTCATTTAGTTGATTAGACGGAAGTTAATCGCGAAAATCGATGTAATAACGGATTTTTAAGTGCTGCGTAATATCATTGCTTCTGCTTCAGCCCTTTTACGGCAGCAAAGTTCCTTGATTATTACGCCGAAATGAGAGTATAGTTCCTAGCCATATCGGCCAAGAAAATAGCAAGGTTTTATTTCCTTCTGGACTTTGTACACAATGTAACAATAGAAAGGTCAAGTTGTAAAAATGAATGTTCTCAAAACTTTTTGGATATTTAAGCAAGATGCTAATGGTCCAATCGGATTCGGTGCATTATGCTAAGCTAACAGTGCTCCAGCCAGACCTGACAATCAGATGACAGAATTCAGTAATTGTGGTGTTTCCAATTAAATCATGAAAACAAATGTACAAAACACTTGTGCAAATCTTTGAACCAATAAAAAAAAATGTAATCAATGTTATGCAGACATTTATGACTTATAATAAGTTATTTATAATCTATAGTGGCAAAAACAAGTATTACAGACAAAAAAGTCAATTTTTTGGATGTGTTTAAGCCAGTAAATATGCAAATGTTACAGTTTTTTTTACTTAATATGGCATGCATTAGAGTCAGGGCTAAATCTTATTTCAAAACCTTTTAAAATTATGGATTTTTCTTTCATCTAGTAAGGATGTTACATCAAAATCTAAAATATAGTGGACTTACTTAAAACCAAAACACATTTTAAATGTAAATGGCAGTCTATGGTGTGAAGATACAAGATGTGCACCTGAAACTACGGATATGGAAAGCCTGTGCTGGCATTTCTCCTGCGGTGTTAATATCAGTGTGTGAGGAGTGGGAGAAGAGGGTTGCATTGACAATCCACCACAATGGGCAGCACATTAAACACATTTCATAAGTGGTAAAAACTTGTAAATAACTCATGAAAGAATAAAGGTATGTTAAAATCAAGCACACCATTGTTTTTCTTGTGAAATTCCCAATAAGTTGGATGTGTCAAATGACCCTCTTCCTATTGAAAAAACAGAAGTTGGATCCAAGATGGCCGACTTTAAAATGGCCACCATGGTCACCACCCATCTTGAAAAGTTTGCCTCCTCACATATATTAATGTGCCACAAACAGAATGTTAATATCATCAACTATTCCCTTTTTATTAAGATGTATCCATATAAATGGCCCACCCTGGAATTTACTTGCTACTCTGGGTGGTGATCTGCTGTAAACGCAAGTTTGTGTAGGTATATACAGCACAAAGACAACCAGCCTCTGAGCGAGCATAGAGAGGATTGTGTGAGCTCTACCAGTGCTCCTATTGGCTGTCGCTCAAGAAAGTCACTCTTCATTTGCATAAAGTTGAAGTATTCTCAACTTTGTCATGACGCTTGGCACGCCCACCCGGTCGCCAACGGTTGCTGTTGTTCAAGTTGGTGGAGGTTGCTCATTCTCCAATGAAATGAGCTCACGCTTGTTGCTTTGTCACTGCTAGCCAATCATAGTGTGAATGAGGCTTCACGCATGCCCGCAGTACACAACTTAGGATCTTAGGCTACGTTCAATAAATGCGATTTTCCCTTGCGTAAAAATAATAATAAAATAAATAAATATAAATAATTATTTCACATTTACACAACAATGAAGAGAGAAACTAAAAAATAAACAAATGCTGTTGTTGTGTAAACAAACAAGCAAAATGCATTAAAAAGAGTTTAAACTCTTTTGCTAAAAATGTTGTTGTGTAAACGAAGTTAATTTTTAAATTAAAGGGTTTTAAACAGCCAATTGTGGTCACTTTTTCACAAGTTTGGTGTGTTTTATACCTGATGTTTGGGTTGTTCTGACTGTAAGCCCTTCACTTTCGATCTCTCCTGCTCCAGAGCTGTGTGTAATTGTGTAACCTGGAAATACACACACAAACACCAACAAACAGCTTTTATTGATGCTAAAACTACGCCATCCAGTGAAAGAGTGAATGTAGCGTCTCACACACACACACCTGTGAGGACAACTCCTCTTTAATGTTGAGCAGCTCCTCCACCTGCAGCAGAATTTCAGCTTTGTCCTTCACTAGACGCACAGAGACAGATAGATCAATACCAATTAGGGCTGCATGATGACCTTTGCTGATGTGTTTTTATTTAGTGCCACGTCAGCAATGACGGCTACTTTTCATGGCAACAACATTTCAAAACAACACAAACGAATACATAAATTAGATACGATTTTTTAAAATTAACACAGGATAAAAATTCAAAAATATCTGGCTACATGATTAACAATCAAAATGAAGTCTCATGCACATCTTGTCAGGGAAACACGACTGATCAGCTGTAAATATACTCCAAAGGAAAAGAGAGTGCTCTCGCTCACAAACTGCAAATACACCATTAAAATTTGATTAAAATTGATTAAATTAGATAATTTAAAGGGACAGTTTACCTAAATAAGAAAATGATGTCATAATTCACTCACCCTTCGCTAGTTTCAAACCTTTCAGTTTCTTTCTTCTGTTGAACACAAAAGAAATTCTAAAGAAAGCAGGAAATCATTAAACACTGACCTCCATACTATTTGTTTTTCCTACTATGGAAGTCAATGGTTACAGGTTTTCAACTTTTTTTCTGTATATCCTTTGTGTTCAACAGAACGTAAAGAAACTTAAAGGTTTGAAACTACTTAAGGCAGGGTAAAAAGTGAGTAAATTAATTTTTTTGGGTGAACTATCCCTTTAATATGCAAAAAAATCTGACTTATTTCAGCTTGAAGACGTTTTTCAAAATGAAACTGAATACAGAGTAAGGGCTTTATTTCTATACTCTTCCTCTTATCTTTCACTCACAGAAACTAATGGTTGGAGGGGCGTGGCTAAGCATATTTCAGCCAATCCGTCAAACCGACATAAGAGACGGTCAAATGGTCAGAATAAAGTTTTTAGTTTTCAACATAGGCAAATGAATTGCACACCATAAGAACTGATGTGCGCTAGGAAAAAAAAGGAACATTAGAAATTTCAGTAACCCTTTATAATAACTACACACTATGAATTATTTATTAAGCATTAGCAAATAGTGCATTCAGACCCGAGGATTCAGGAGGAGAGAAGTCTTCCTCATTTATCGTATTTATATAAACACAATTATATTATGATATAACATTATGATATATTATAATATAACAAATTGTGGTTTTGTTTATATCAAATTACAAATAACAAATGTAGCACGGCATTCAATTACTTACCGTTGATTTACTTTAACTCTGTAAACTATAAAATCATGTGGTTTGTGTCTCATTCTTTGAGCCAACTGGCCACAGTTGTTCGCTCTATTCTTTTTCCACTGCTCTGCCAGCCACGCCCACTCCTCCCTCTGCTCGCAGAGCCCCACACCCATCTCGAAGCACTTTTTTTTTTTTTTTTTTTAATTCTGAGATGGACTTGAACCAAAAGAGGGGGGGGGGGGGGGTTCATGGCACTTTAACATCACTAATAAACACACGCCTATGGAATCATAATAATAAAAACTCAACTGAAGATGTGAGGGGAGGTATGAGTAAAATCCTGTTATTAAATTTAGTGTTCTCACATGTTTTCAGACCAGCAGCAACATTGAGCCATAGTTCACAAAGAAATGCCTGTCAAATCGCAGAATGATTCACTTTGATTTCAGGATTGAATCAAATTAAATAGTTAGCATATCTTTTGCATAGATTGTCAGTGAGCAACAGCTCTGTGTAGTAAATGCTGCTCCATCTGAAAGCACATGCTAGAGATTTACAGCTAATTGCAGAGCCGGTTTACCTGTCAAAATGTGCAGCAAATTTGCCTTGATTCACCTTACAGCCCTTATAACATTAATAAATGCTAGATTTCAGAGGCAATTTTGCACTTACTTTCTCCTTGCTGAAGCATTTTCAATAGCTGGGAATTTCTGGCCTTGACTTCCTTATATCTTTCCTGGAAAAAAAAAACAGATATAAAAAAATCAAAAATATAAATAAATAAATAAATAAATAAAAGATTCCTTGATTCATCGGACTGAAATCTTTTGAGAGGTCAATTTAGCACATTTCACCTGTAAGAAAGTATAACATTAGCTCTTGTGTACTGTTCAAACTGACTATCCTTTCGTTATGTTGGTGGCTGCTTTTCCCCACTGACTTCCATTATAACCACATTTTTTGATTGTAAAGCCTTGACGCTATATAATCATGCATTCTAGACTGTTGGGGATGTTCTCTGTTGGGAAGAGGTACAATTTGCATTTTCACCAGGGCTCGAAATCAACCTTTTTTCTTGGTAGCACCGGTACTCCTAACTCCACCAGACAAAATTTAGTCGCACCCACCAAAAATTATCATTACTACACATTTTATATTAACAATTCTATTAATTCTATTATAAATCAACACTCTAATCACAACTAACAAATAAACAAAAATCTGCATGCGCTCACCGGCACGCACTGCTTGGCGTGAATGAGATGAACTGAATTAGCAATAATAACTGTGCTGTTCTCACGGGTGATGTCTGATATTGCACACATGATATTGACATACAACTAACTATTTGCATACGTCATCTTAATAGCAGTAACGTTTTTTTTTATGAGCTGCAATATTAGTTTCATCTCAGTGAATGCATGCTTTTTATCGATGGTGAACGCGGTGTCAGTCGCACGATTGACAGGATCGTGATGATTAAGTGAAGAATTAAACAACGTTAGAACATCTCGTGCTTAAAATGTGTAGATTCAGTGGCAAACACAGTTACCTGAAAACTCTTTACAGTGAATGCTTTAGTCATTTTCATAGCGGACTTTAACCACTGGAAGTCTTTTATCCACTCTTCTAAAAGTGTAAATGCTGGATTGACATTCAGCACATGATCACTTATCAGATGTGCCATTATTTGTAACTTTAGGTGGTTTCTAAAAATATATCTGTCAGTTTGTCTACATTCTCTCGTATCCAGACCTTTTTCGCGGCTGTCATCAGAGCTGAGTGGTTGACAGCTGATATTAACCAATCCATTTGCGTTCTGTTCTAGCGCAGTGGGCCAATAAGAAGAGCTTGAAGGCAGGGCAAGCATTGCAGGCTTAGTTTACGGCAGCAAGTTGACATGTCAACTGTTTTGAACCATTCCCGAGCGCTGCGTTTGGTGTTTTTAGGTGCAAAGATGCCTAATGCATGAATGCCTCCTAATACCGCGCATGTGGTGAACATTTTGCTGTGAAAACAACAATTTTATGCACTCGCACAAATGCTCCCAAATATATTTTGAGGTTGCATAGTTAATTTTGGGCGAATATGAGACCAAAACAGTCACAATTTCGAGCCCTGTTCACTGTTGATCATCATGCAATAAGATAGAAGTCAAAGTAAATTTGGGAAAACAACATTTTTTCTAATTTGGGGTTGTATAAAACTGATGAAGCATAGAGGGTATTTTACTATGAAATGTACATTTAGTCAGAACAGTGATAGACCTGGGGCCCGTTTCAGAAAGGAGGTTAAGTGAAAACTCAGAGTATTTCAACCCTGAAATGAGAGAAACTCCTTTTCTGTTTTCCGTTTCACTGTTCAATATCAATGATTAAAGTAAATGGTCTAAATGTATTTTTATGTATTTTTATATTTTGGGTAAGGCATAAAGCTAAAAAATGTTCATCAAATTAAATAGAGTCCGTTTGTACGCATCTCTGCCGACCGCTGTTGGTGCTGCGCGTTCACAAGAGGGGGAGCGCCCGCGAGATCGGTACAAACCTGCTAAATCAAAACTTTTTAAAAACCTGAATCAATATTGGAGTTACCTTTGCACGCTGGAGAAAGGACGACACAATGTCTGCAGAATTTCTCTTAGACAGGTAATGTTCTGTTTTTAAAACTGTTTTAGCTTCACACACAGCTGATGTAACATTAGATGTTGTTGTTACAAACGGGTTATATCTTTACAGAAGTGTTGTTCAGCTACTAAAATCTTTCGATGAAAGACTGATTAGACTATTTTCGTTTTCAGGGACTTTTTACAGCATCGATAATGTAGATTTTATTTAGTTTAACAACAAAACACAAGTAAATATCGCTATTCCGCCTAGTCTCTCCCTAAATTGTTAACCATGCAACTCTAAGAGTTGGCTCTAGAGGCGTGGCTCTAGACGGCAGGGGAGGGACTGTGATTCAGAGACTTATGCTAAGCTATTAGCATTGTGAAAAATCACCTACTGCACCTTTAAATATTTAAATACTTTAAATGTAAAATTATGCATTAAATTGAGCTGTTTTCCCACAGTAACTGTCTCTGTTGTTCACTGATGCAGTGGTGTTGCTTTTTTAAATATATACGCTCATATTTGCTCTAACTTTGCATGAGCACACCAAGTTCAGCTGGAGAAAGAAATGCTGATCTCTTTTTTCAGAGGTTGCCATGGCCACTCATAATATCTGCGCTCCATTAATAATGCCTTTTTATAGTCACAGTGTGCGCGCTTAACTCTGAGTTGGCCGACTCAAAGTTGATTGACCCAACTCAGATGAGCTGTTCTGAAACCGAAAACTCTGAGTTTTTATTCTCTGTAAATCAACTCAAAGTTCAAGTTTAAACTCAGTCGGTTAAACCTTACTAAAACAGGCCCCTGTTTAAAACACTGCTTGTTGTTTCCACACAAGTACAGATCAATAAAAATGCTTTCCTTTGTACCCATTGTACAGTAGCTGATATGCATTATTCTATTATCTAGTATTATTACCGTCTTCACTACTGCTGCTGCAGCATTTCTCATTTCATCTTACCTCCCATTGTGAAATTGTCTTTTTCAACTTTGCGATTTCCTGGTCTTTCTTCTCCAGTTCGTATTTCAGCTGCTCAGTTCTCACATCCTGGAAGTTGAAAACAGTTTTGGTGTTATATTTAGCTGCATTCTCCACTTTGAGATCACATTATGATGTGCAGTGAGAAAGCCGGACCTGCTCGTGCTCTGAGGACGTGTTGACCTCCTGCCCGGCGCTGTTGCTGTACTGCTCTCTGCGTTTGTCGCGCTGGACGATTTTACTCACGTCATCCTCTAGCTTGTTAAAGAACTTGTCATCGCGGAGCGCTGGATTTACAGGCTATGGAAAACAACAGGGTAACACTTTAGTAACAATTCATACCATTAACAACTAGCTTATTACCTGCCTATTGTTAGGATCTTAACTCTTTATCAGCACTTATTAAACTATGATCTTAAGTGTCCCTAATCCAACTGCCACCTTTTCAAGCTATTAATTAGCAGATAATCAGTAGTTATGAGCTAAAATTCTTGCTTAATGGTTTGTCAAAGGCATTAATTGTGCATTAAACTAAAGTGTGATCAAAGATTGCTAAAAAAAAAAAGAAAGAAAAGAAACTGCAAATCTGGCAACCATTGCATTCCATGCTTAGTGAGTAAACCTATTAAAATAAACAAATAAAAACAGAAAACCATAAGATTCAAAAGTTGATCTGTCAAGCAAATTAAATAAAGCATGTTTAGGTAGTATGTTTACCAAATCCAAAATAATACACTAAAGCTAAACTGAATATATACAGCATATACACTCACCGGCCACTATATTAGGTATACCCGTCCAACTGCTCATTAATGCAACAATGAGCAGTTCTAATAAGCCAATCACATGGCAGCATTTCAATGCATTTAGGCATGTAGACGTGGTTAAGGTGATCTGCTGCAGTTCAAACCGAGCATCGGAATGTGGAAGAAAGGTGATTTAAGTGACTTTAAAACGTGGCGTGGTTTTTGGTGCCAGACAAGCTGGTCTTAGTATTTCAAAAACTGCATCTCTGAATGCACAACACGTCTAACCTTGAGGCTACAGCAGCAGAAGACCACACCGGGTGCCACTCCTGTTAGCTAAGAACAGGAAACTGAGGTTACAATTCACACAGACTCGCCAAAATTGGACAATGGAAGATTAGAAAAACGTTGCCTGCTCTGATGAGTCTCGATTTTTGCTGTGACATTCGGATGTTCAATCAGAATTGAACAAAAACAACATGAAAGCATGGATCCATCCTGCCTTGTATCAATGGTTGAAGCCGGTGGTGGTGGTGTAATGGTGTGGGGGATATTTCCTTGGCACAGTTTGGGCCCATTAGTACCAATTGAGGCTGTGTCAACACCACAGCCTACCCGAGTATTCTTGCTGACCATGTCCATCTCTTTATGACCACAGTGTACCCATCTTCTGATGGCTACTTCCAGCAGGATAACCCGCCATGTCATAAAGCGTGAATCATCTCAGACTGGTTTCTTGAACATGACAATGAGTTCACTGTGCTCAAATGGCCTCCACAGTCACCAGACATCAATCTAATAGAGCACCTTTGGGATGTGGTGGAACGGGAGAGTTGCATCATGGATGTGAAGCCAACAAATCTGCAGCAACTGCATGATGCCAAAATATCAATATGGAGCAAAATCTTTGAGCAATATTTCCAGTACCTTGTTGAATCTACGCCATGAAGGGTTAAGGCAGTTCTAAAGGCAATAGGGACTCTAACCTGGTACTAATGTACCTATTAAAGTGGACGATGAGTGCAAATTCACCTTTGTTAAATGGAAATAGAGTAAATCTAGTTAACTCACGGTGCATTAACCAATATTAACAAGCATAAATTGGACTTTAATAATGCATCAATAAATGTTGTACAATGATTAATAAATGTTGCAAAGGTATCTGTAATTATTAGATTATGTTAATAAATACATGAACTAATGAAAGCTTATGGCAAAGTGTTAGCAGATTTACTTGATGGGACTGACGACTAATTAGATCATGTCTCATGTAAAAAGAGCTAAGTAAAAGAAGAAATAAGTTTAAGAAATAGACAAATTATGTGTGTGGTAATAGGGTGGGAAAATAATAAGCTTCTGCTTCATCCAGCTCCATTTTCAAGTCCGTTGAAATGTATTGAAAATGTAATTTTTATGTATGATATTTCTGTCGGAAAAAATCAAATAGTGCTTTAGAAAATCTCAACGGTCTCAACTCAAAGCAGGTTGAGCTTGCCCATTTCATATTATTACAGGTCTCTGATAGTATATTCACTCACCTCTCGCTCAGGCTTGTTCTTCAGCTGATCTGCAACAGAGAAGCAGTAAACGCTCAATCTCAGATGATAGTAACACGTTCAAAAAGTAAAGTCCAAAGCATTTTCCCAAAATATGTGTCAAACTAAGATTAGTCACCAAGAATTAATCCATTTGCTGAAAAAGAGAAAGTGGAGGTCAAATTATGCCTCAGAATCATCCCAGTGTGGATGAAAACATCTCAAACAGCACAAAAGGGTTAAATGCCGCTAAATAAGTGTCAAATACAACCAAAAAATGTATAAAACAACAAACCTTTCTGTGTTATTCAGCGATACTTTAAATATATTTATATTTTTTTAATAATTATTTTATTTTTTTCCAGGGATTGACATTAACAACCGCCAACCTGCCAAGATTTCAGCTTTGGCGGGTAAGACAACAACCATCACTAGCCATTTTGGCTGGTTGAAAATAATTTTTAAATTGTGGTTTTCTTAAAAGCAAGGTTCGACAATAAGGATGACCCAATATGCGTGCAAATGTGATATTAGAATCGAGAAACAGCACAAATAACAGCTGATGTGAAGCGCGGACTGTTTAAAACATGTGCGCGCTCCTGTTTCTTTGCGTGAAGCAATCGTGCCTGGAAGGCAACTGTGATCGGTTCAAATAGACTAGACAAAAAGTTATGCTCATGCACCAACAGTCTTGTGTCTTTCAAGAGCTTCAAATTTGTCATTTTGTAAGCAGCACCGGCTGCTTTCGCTTTGAACAGATTATTAATTGGCCTTAACCGTGTGCGTGTGACCATCCTTTCATTATCTCACACAGTATGTTTTTCACCCGCTTTCTTTTGCTTACGGTTATTTTTGTTAATATAGTTATCGTTTTATTTATTTTTTTTACAATAACAATGCTTTAATAGGGGATTATGAGATCATATGAGATCCATTTATATTTAGTTAACTGGTGATCTGAGAGATTTTTAGCCAGGACAGATTACTGTGCATATGTTTGATAAAATGACAATACTTTTTTTTTTTTTTTTTTTAAGTCAATGATGTTTCTTTGTTTTTTTTTTTTAAAGAAATGTTTTGTTAAATAAAATGTGTATTATACAGCTATTATTTACAAATATATTTATATTTTCCCCATCAGTGTTAATTTCGTTGACGAAGACTATGACGAAAAATATTCGTCAACGAACATTTTTTACAGACGAAAACTAAATAAAAACTAAATAAAAAGTCAGATACGAGGACGAAGACGATGACGAAATTTAACTGACAGTTTAGTCAACGAATAAAAACGAGAGGAAAATGTTGGGGCGGGACGAATGGAGAAGAGATCCAATAAGAACTACCCTTTTGTGGGGAAATCCAATCAGAGCGAATCTTTTGAGGGCAGGTTGATCTTGGCAAAGCCATTTTCAAAACAAAAGCCGCGGTTTTCAAGTTATGATGACGTTTGTTATACATTATATTTAGTTACACATTATACTTGGTTACAAAGCGTTGGTTAATTTAAGTTGACTTTTCTCCTTAACAACACGCTAAAGTTTTGTTCACTCGGTCCGAGGGCAGCGTCTCATGAACAGACAGACAGAAATGTCAGAGCTTGGTCTAGGACGAAAACGAAGAATTGACATCTGGTCAAACTTCACATATGACAACAAGAGCGTCTGTAAACCATGTGGAGTAAAAATCGCTGGGAAAAACACCACCAACTTGAAGCGACATTTAACGTTACAGACGGCTCATCCAGAAATCCACACCAAGGTAAGCATAAACGCTAACGTTAAGGTTATCCTATAAGATAAACCACCGTGATTCTGCTAAACTTGGAATAAAATTGAAGCCAAAGGAAATTAACTTTAAATCGTATTGATTAAACGAATTGTCTCGCTGAATTAATTAATATAAATATGTGTACTATTATAATAGATGTTGTGGTGATATATATGACTCGACAAAAGGTGTGGGTGTGTGTGTGTGTGTGTGTGTGTTATATGGCAAGAAAGAAGAAAATATCACAACTTTGTATATCATTTATATATCCTCATAGATACAGAAGATGTCTGATGACCATGGGCCAGGTGGAAATAAAGCTAGTGATGCTACAAGTACAACACAGCAGCAGGCCATCTCAGATTTCCTAAGGTCTTCAAAGTACAAGACTGAATCAAAGGAACAACTGACCAAGGAGCAGGCCATAGCTAGATGGATTGGACGGACAGGTTTACCACTCACAACAATTGAGGATGAGGACTTTGTGCTAATGATGGGGATGATAGACGGGAGACTAACAGTTCCAAAGAAAACTAAAATTAGCAATTTAATTAAAACACAGTATGAATGCTGTACTTTATCTTGAAACAATGTCATATGCGTTTCATATAATTCAGGGACAATGCATATCTTTTTCAGGGAGCATGTATATTGTTCAGGGAGAGCAGGTCTTGTGGTTATTTTTTGTGAAAAAGACTGTTTTTGACATGTAATAAAATGTTTTTTATTACAACAATTAGATATGTGCCTGTATTCTATATATGCTTCCACATATTATATTATACTTAGAATTACATGAATTATGGAGAAAAATCTGCTAATATTTGGTCCACTAAAACTAGACTAAGACTAATAGACTTAAGACTAAACTAAGACTAAAACTCTTATGATATTTAGTCAACTAAACTAGACTAAGACTAAAAGATTTCAGATGACTAAAATAGGACTAAAACTAAATGGTGTATTATTCCAAAGACTAAGACTAAATCAGAATTTGCTGTCAAAATTAACACTGTTTCCCATCAACAAAATTGTGGCTAGTGAAAGTACAGAGTGGCTAGTAACGTGGCTGGTGATCAAAAAGGTTAATATCAAGTTCGGTATATTTTTAAACTTCCCAAGTTCTGCTGGTTGACGCATGTGCAGATTTTTTCTTGCCAATTTTAACCACTTAAACTCTGCTGCTATTTGGGGATTTCAGCCTGGATTTTGCCTAACCAAATTTAAAAGCTTCCCAAATCCACATAAAGAGGTGTAAATGCAAAAATTTGGTATAATTTTAAAGAAAACCCTTTGAATTTTCATAAAACACTATTGAAAGTGTTTAAAATAACTGTATATGTCATCTGTGTTATAATAAACACCTAAAAAAAGGAGGCGCTTTTTGTGTGTTTTTTTTTATAAACTCAAATTTGAAAGTGTACCTTTTAGGTTCTGTGTGGTCTAGCGTGCTGTAATTAATTTTGGTGGTTCCTGCACATGTCTGTAATCATAGGAAAAAAGAAAAATGTCTCTACCATAATCTATGCAAAAGTTATTGCATTCCAACTGATAAGAGGTGCTGTACAAGCCACATGGACCGATCATTGTTTTCATATTTCCCTATTCTTTTGTTTGATCAAACATATTGTACTGTGTTTGGACCACATCAGACATATAAAAGGATTACTTATGCACATCACCTCAAAAACAGAGGAGAAATGGCCCTGAAGCGCACAGCATAAGGTAAGAGATGACAGCTGTCTGAGCTATCTGTGGCTGCTTATTGATCATGAATGTATTGTTTACATTTCTGCACTATGGAAACACCACAATTCATTCAACAACTGTTTGGCATATGAATATAATTCAGTAAAAAGAATGCTAGAACCGTATGAGCACCGACAAGAGCTTTCATTTGAGCTATAACTTGTACATGTGTCATATGAAAAATATGAAAATGAACCAATGTAAAATACCTAGCTCGGGTATCCAAAATACTGTGTATTTAAGTGTAAATACGGTACCGGGTCCGCAGAGTTTAAGTGGTTAAGCCAACTATAATAATTTGTTTTGCTTCAATTCGGAATTTCCACAACCTTGGCAGAGCTCGGGGGATCAGAGTGAGTGAGTGCTCCTAATTGGCCCCACCCTGATCCACTTTAAATAATTTTAATGTACAATTCATGCTTTTAACAAACCATCAACTAAGACTTTTAGCTTAATACACTACAAAGTAGCTGCTTATTAATAGTTTGTAAGGTAGTAGTTTTAGGTATTTGGTGGGATTAGAGATGTAAATGAGATCATATTGTGCTAATAAACAGTTAATATCTTAATACTATGCAGGTAATAAGCCAGTTGTAAATAGCATTAATTGTTACTTCAACTAAAGCGTTACCCAATAATTTCATTGATCCGCAGTGCACGTTATTATAAAGTGTCATCTAATACGGCGTCCTCACCCTCCTGCTGGAAGTCTTTCAGAGACACGGTGACACGTTTGTCCTTCCCCTGCTGGTTCTTCTTCCTGTCCTTCTTTCCACCAGTCTTCGTCTTTGGTGACGCCGTCTCAGCTTTGTCAGCATCCTTGAAAGAGAGCAAAATTGCACATGAAAACAACAAACTAGCAACGTAACAATGTTAAATTATTAGTATTAGTTTCAGAATTAGTTGCATTTATATTAGGCATTTAAAACTTATACCAGTGTAACCACAAGAGGGGGCTGTTACACCGATCAGATGATGATGACAGCACCAAACGCTGTTTTTATGGCAAGAACATTTCATTAGAGACAGTTATTCAAAATGTGATCAATTTTTAAAAGATCCCCATAACTGCTAAAGAATTTGCAATAGTATTTGATGCAATTCCTAGTGGACTTGTTCCGCTCTTATCTGGCAATTTATCCTCTGAATCAGTGGTTCTCAAACGTTTTTCCATCAAGTACCACCTTAGAAAAAAATTGTCTCCCCAAGTACCACCAAAATGAGCAGTATTGAAATACAGTAGCATAGTAGGCCCAGTAAAGCAGCTACAATTCTGCACAGTGAAAAAACCTGGCAGATTACCTCAGAAATTTAGGCTATATATCATATATGGCGTATTATATACATAATTTTTAATCCATTTTGAAATGTATGTAGCATGTACATGACATATATTTTATTCCTCCGTGTACCACTAGAAGGAAGCCCGCGTACCACTAGTGGTACACGTACCACAGTTTGAGAACCACAGCTCTGAATCAAACCTATTACATACTAATCAGTTAAGTACCAATGGTGTGGGAATTGTAGACAACACAGTTAAAAAACTGTTACATTAAAAAGTTATGCAGGACCACATTGCTGCCTAAATGCAAATCTTTTTGGAGTTTCTTATTTGAACAGATTTGAGTGGGAAAAAGTTTGGAAATTACCTAGTAAATACTGTCTCACCAATAAAATGAAAGAAGTGACATATAAACCAAGACATTTAATTTATCCAGAGAAAGAACTTGTTAATTTTTTTAGAGACATGGAATCTACATGCATTTTTTGTGAATTAGAGGAGGAATCGATAAAACACCAGTTTTTTGTATGCACATGTACCCAAATCTTTTGGTTTAATGTTGTATATTTTATCTTTAAACTTACAAAATAAAAAATTCTGTTTTTTTTTATAAAGATATTTTTTGATATGTAATAATAATAATAATAATAATAATAATTGCAGTGGTGCAGAAGGTAGTGCTGTCGCCTCACAGCAAGAAGGTCGCTGGTTCGAACCTCGACTCAGTTGGTCTTTCTGTGTGGAGTTTGCATGTTCTGCCTGCGTTTGCGTGGGTTTCCTCCGGGAGCTCCGGTTTCCCCCACAGTCCAAAGACTTGCGATAAAGGTGAATTGTGTAGGCTAAATTGTTCGTAGTGTATGAGTGTGTGTGTGAAAGTGTGTGTGGATGTTTCCCAGAGATGGGTTGCCGCTTTCTTCCATAGCGAACCCAAAGTTGTGCATGAAAATAAATGTTTACAATGTCAGTATTACTACTCTAGCCTATATATTGTTGAATATAATCTGATAATGGCAAATGTCTGATTTTACCAGTGAATAAAATTGTCTAAAATGACAGATTGCAAGCATATATCTCAAACATAATTCAACATCAGAATTATTATAAGTAGAATAAAATTATTTATAGAAACTATTGAACATATTATTATCGATGTTGTGCCATATGTTTGTTTTTACCATACCTTTAATTTACATCTACAGAATCGCGAGAAAATCATGATCTTTATATAAAGCAAAAATGAATAAAGATAATAAAAAAAATAAAATAAAATAAAAATTAAACTAAATAAATAAAAATCGCCATTCTCATTTTAGCCAGAATCGTGAAGCTCTAACAAAAAAACAATAATAAAAATGAATGATCTGTCTACACAAATGTATAAGAAATATATGTTTTTGTAAGCAATTCTTGCCCTGCCAACGTACCTTTTTATGTTCCTCAAACTCCAATTTACTTAGCATCAAGGCCTTTTCCAGATCCGCCTCATACAGGTCACTGGTCAGCTGTGACGAACACAAACATGAACACGAATGAATAAAGCGTGGAGAGAAACGGGCCCTAGTAAAGACAAACTGTGAGCTTTTTTACCTGTTCATCTCTCTGCTTCCACTCCTGCCAGTTTTCCTGCGGTTTGGAGCCTTGCTGGACATTTGCCGGATTGATCAGATCATTCGCTAAATCCTGGAGCGTGAGTGAAGGAGGCGCTGTCGACTTCTGAGGGATCTTCTTAAAAGCAAGACTCCTGAGCTGCAATGTAGAAAGACAAAACTCTTTTTTTTTTCTCTTTTTTAGCATTGACAGGCACTTAGTTGATGTTTTATCTAAAGGGACTTTAGCGTAAAACACAACCCTCCCTTTCCTAAAGATGTTTGAAATCAAGACACAATCCCAATTCTATTTTTGTACCCCTACCCCTTCCCCTTGAAACGGAGTGTGAAGGGCTTCAAAATTAACCCCTAAGAAATGGGACAGCACTGCAGCACCTGGACATGTCATCACATGTCATCGTGAGCTCTTGCTTCATAGGAGATCGACAATCGTGACTGCTGTAGTTAATCCAGTTGTATTATTTTTTGCTCTTTATCTTCACAAAATCACTAAAGGCATATATCATGTTATCTAATGATACAACGTGGCAATCAACTCACATCTGTACTGTGCGTTTACACCATAGCCATACCCATCTATGTCAGTGGGGTCTAAACTCGGTCCTGGAGGGCCAGCGTCCTGCAGATTTTACCTCCAACTTGCTTCAACACACCTGCAAGGATGTTTCTAGAATGCCTAGTAAGAGCTTGATTAGCAAGCCCAGGTGTGTCTGATTGGGGTTGGGACTAAACTTTGCAGGACACCGGCCCTCCAGGACGGAGTCTGGGCATCCCTGATCTATGTAAACACACAAAAACAACCTTAACGTTATACCAGACACTTTAAAAAGGTCATTCCCAACCACTAGACTTTTCTGACCGGGTATTCGAGTGTCATCGAGTGACAGATGTGAAAGTATTTTGTTGGACTGCTATACAGGAGTTATTATTATGGATTATTGATAGCCAAATTTAGCTGTTTTTATTTTAGCGTTCTTTTTTAAAGCATGATGGTAAAACACGAACGCTTATGAACGCTTATGAACGGTTATGAATGTATTAACACATATGCTTGTTAATACTGCCAAAAATATATTTAATATGTGCATCTCCTTACTTCCATGTGCAGCAATGCAGCTGTTTTATTTTGGGAATTTTTATTTTATCCCTTGGTTTCGAGTGTGGTCCTAAAAAAAAACTCAGTTTCAAGAGCTATCTAGCCCTTCCCCTCATCTCTACACCTTTAAGTTAAAGAGAATCGGGTAAGGTGAAGGGCAAAGGGGTGGAATTGGGATTGTGTCCAAGTGATTTCACTCGGCGGTCATCTTTGAAACGCCTCTCGAGCAGTATGCTCGTCAAAATGGAAACGTCAAATTCTCTAAAATCGCCAAGCTTATGACTTAATTTCCTATTTTGAATCAACAATACAGTTAAACAACAACTGTCTCTTTAGTTTCATATCCAACCATTCGAATCACACAAAATCTGCAGAAACTCATGTTTGGTCTGAGCCCCTCCCCCTGGAAATGAGATAAATAGATGGATGGATGGACAGACGGACAGAAGGAAGGACGAACGGATGGACAGACATATAGACCTTTTTCATGGCTGCTGCATGGAGGGCGCCATAGCGACCAGCGTCTTCCGGTAGAATGCCAAAAACTTCCGTTTACAGCGTGTACAACTGGTAATTTGCGCTCCGAAAATGGGTTTCAATAACGTTTTTATTGGATAACAGTGTTTTTGTGACACACAACTTAGAAATGTGTCTGTTAAAGCCGTTATAATCTGTCACGTGTGGTTCAAGCGCGTCAGAAATACGAGAAAAACGTTCTCCTAGTTCACGTGTCTGCCGTCAGAAATACAGTGTGTGAGTGCCATCCCGGCCTGTCAGCTGTTAGCTCAGCGGCTCTTTAACACAAACACGCACACACAGAGAGAGAGAAAGAGAGAAAGAGAGAGAGAGAGAGAAAGAGAGAAAGAGAGAAAGAGAGAGAAATAGAGAGAGAGAAAGAGAGAGAGAGAGACAGCAAACCAGAGTACTGGCATGAAACTTAACAGGTATGAAAGTCGTGCAATTTACAAAAACTGATCCTCTGCTGCTGATTTGCTGTTCATTCTAATCGCGAGCCGTTTGTGTTTTATTTCGTGTGTTGTTTTTACCACGGTTTGTGTTTTTCTGTCATTTCGATATGAGACTAGCCTATATTTTCACGTTGTAACAGTTATTAAATCAGTGTGTCAGTGGCACAGTACAGGCTATGTGTGTGTGTCAAACATTTTGGTGAATTACATTTGTTTGGGCTGGTTATATATTTGAAATAAAGAGAAAATGTTGACTTTAGCGATGACGAGGCTTCATTTAAACTGCAGAACATGCCGTCTGACAACAAGGGAAAAACGCCTCACAGCAGCTGTTTTCCATCCTATTAGATTGCATTTCTTTAAATGATCAGTCCAGGAGATGCTGCTGATGGACAACAGTATTAGTTCAAAGAGGATAAAAGCTGGTAAAACAGATTAAAACTATCGTTTCAAAGCTGTCCAAATGTAACTGTTTACACGCATCAGCTGCCGACCGGAAGTTCTTTGCATTCGCCTTGCGCATACACGCAAAGCATAATGGGTAATTTTGCGTTCCAAGAAAAAGGTTTATAAGTAGACAGACTGACAGACAGACAAACATATACATATTTGTTTTCTGTCACCTCATTAGCTTCACTCTGCTGCTGTTCCTTCTTCCGTCTCCTCTTTTCCTTCTTTTTCTCGTTATTTTGGCTGTTCTTCCCGCTAGGCGATTTCCCCGACCGGGGCTTCCCTGCTCCTCGACCCGCCGCCTTCGGCTTTCCTACATCTGAATCTGAGTCCGAATCAGAGTCGACCTGCAGCAGGGCGAAGCGTGAGGCGGTGGTGGGCACGGAGATCACTGCTGATGCCATCCTAGACCTGCCAATCACACCAACACCAGTCAGTGCAACATTTACTTGACGAAAAATAAAGTAGGGATGCAACGATTAACCGGTTTCATTATTAACTAGGAACCCACGGTTTGGAACGCAAGTAACGTGTTGATTAAGAACTTTTTTTGAACTATACAGTCGCAAAGAGATCACCTCCCGCATCATTTAAAATCACATGTATGAAAGCATTTTGGCTTCCCTGTAAATATAATGATGATGGAAAAAGTTGCAGTGGCACCTAAATGCATTCTTACCGTACGTTCACACCGAAAGCGGCGAGAGCGTCCAAGGTCGCTCTGGCCGCCCTGGCGACAACACTCTCTGCCTTCAGCTCCTGCGGCGAGAGCGTCAAAACTCGCAACATTGATCTCATATTTAAAGGAGCAGCATTATCAGTTACATTCCTGCATAAAACGTTTTCTAGCGTGAAAATGTTGCGCACTTCTTATCAAATTCATACAACAATGGAAGATCAAGTTGCGTGTGGTGTGGCTTTGCTCTATTTATCCAATATGTGTCCATTTGTCTGAAATATCCTGAAGCAGCAGTACTGTTTTGTACTGTCACATCGCGTGATATTCCCGCTTTTTCAAGATAAATTTATATAGCATTAATGAACATCAGTAACTCACCAGTAACTTATTTAATGTATGTTCCTGTAGGAAAAAAATTGTAAATAATTGGAAATCCGGCGACCGCAATAATCAAACCATTGGGAACAACTGTGGTCGGAACCAAAGTTCACAGGTCTGTGTTCTCTGAACTGCTATCAAGCGATGGACGTCTTCATTCTGATTGCTTGCCGCCAAACCGCGTCATAGCTCATTACCATAAAGTTGACTTCATTTCAACTCTCCTCGACGCTCACGCCGGCGAAGACGCGCCGCGCTGCTCCTCGCCGCTTATCGCCGCCGGCTCTCATTGAAAATGAATGACTTCCGGCTACTTTGACGCTCTCGCCGCTTTCGGTGTGAACGTACGGTTAGGCTTTTAATTAAAGGTGTTTTCTGTCACTGCTTGTTCAGTCTGCCATAATGCATTCATTGTAAAGCTGCACAATAAACATTAAAGGATCGTGATCTCAATTTAAACCCACGCAACATGAATGATAAATGATAATGATTAGCATATGTTTATTAATCTATCGAAGTGCTGCATTCAAATCTGTGTTTGATCAAGAGATATTCAGTTTTTACACTATTACAGGTCGTTACAAACCATCAAATAACACAGAAGAGCTCGGAGAACAGTTTATAGTTATAACATATAACACTGATGTTTGTGGTAAAGATTAAGATCTCCATTTAATGGAACTTGACGCTGGTGAATGTTGTAGCAATTACATTGTGTAACCAACAGGTGGCGACAAACAACCATCAAAATTATGTCATTGAATAGGTTTCCAGAAATGATTACGCCTATAATGCTGCGTTCACACCAGACTCGGAATCCGCGGATAAATCACAATATTCGCGCATAAATAGCCGCGTGAACATTTGAGTTTACTCGCTTCATTCGCGCATCAAATCTGCTTCATTCACGCGTCAAATTTAATTCAGAACAGACGCGGAGTCGCGTGATGGGCAGGGCTTCTGTCTGCCCGGTGACTCTAGCTTCGTTGCTAAATGGCTAACATGGATTTTATTAAGAAAATACAGTTTATGTGTTTTATGAAGGCTGAAAAACAGCGTTGAGACGTTTAGGGCCGTGTCTGAGTCCACTAAAGGTTCAGAGGTGCACCCAGCTTTGTGAGTTCATATACTCCTCCAGAAACTATACCTGGATGATGGAGGCTTTCAGCGGTGCTTCTGACTGAGCCGAGCCCACTTTGATGCACTGTTGTCGGTGTCGGCTGGAGGATTTGCCCCAGGACACCAACAACAGGCATACGTCAAAATCACGCCCCCCACAAGAGCAAGCTTCTGATTGGCTAACACGGATTTTTGAACTCAAGCGATTCACGCGCTAAACGCGTCAAACGCTCAATTCGCGAATATCGCACCGCAGGATGTTTATTCTCGCTCAGCTTTATACTTTGTATGGAATAAAAAATCTTAAACGAAAACACCAAACATTTATGTAATAAAGTTGATCAAAAGTGCCTTTCAGACAGAGGTTCAACAGCCTTTGACTACATTTGTTTTCTTTAAAAGGGAAATACTTGCAATAGACTTGCATTCGACAAATACAATGTTTTTATTTATTCTTATTTTTTACATTTATTTATTGTTCTGTCATTTATTTTCAGTGTTAAATAATTATTGTTTAAATGTCAAAAACTTTTTTTTCACTTATTTTTAATTCCAAAGACAAATGATTTATTGGTTGTTTTTAATACTATTTTGTGCTGTATTAAATAACAATAACAATTTAAAATACAGGGTGCTTTCATGTGATTTTCTAAACCAGTAGTGTTTTGAAATGTATGAATGTGTAATAATCGTGATTATTCCTCAGACTATAATCGTACAAACAAAATTTATAATCGTTGCATCCGTATGCTGACTCTTAAATAAGTTGTAGATATCTTAAAAACTAACAATACTGATACTAACATCTAGAAAAACTATTTAAATGTCATGGCACTTTTAAAAGTATAACATTCAGAGCAAATTTCTAATACAAAATTAAAAGTAAATAATTAATGGTGCAAATTAATTTAGATTTACTCTCCCTACACATACAGGTTTAAGAGGTCACATATAAGCCAAATTTATCCTGATATCATACATTTTGGTAAATTATGAGATTGTAGTTTCATCACATGTTTTTTTTTTCAGGGAGGGGAGTCCGATTTCGACACAACAGGCTCTAACCAAACCAAACCTGACGCGGCAGAATACCACAAAAATGTGCACTTTCATGTTACACAGACCTTTAAAAAGGCTTTAAAGCGCTATAAATGCATTTATATACTATATTTACAATATCATAACTGTATCAAAATAATGAGTGGCGTCTCTGGGACTAGCAAATTATAGCATTGAAAAATCAGTGCTAACGTACATCTACCATAACAACTTTGCGGATAACGTTTGAATGTGTTAGCATGCTAGACTTAAATAAACAAATAAAAACAGGTTTAATAAGCATTGTTCACTGAATAAACACAAAGCACTTGACAATTAGAAGATGTAGTATATAATCGAGTGGAGCTTGTAGTGCTCGCTGAACAACCGCTTCAGATGTAACGTTACTCGTCGTTATGTAATATACGTTTAAATAATAATTACACCCTGATATAATGTAGTTTTTAGTCATTATACAATTCGCTACCTAAAATGTCGCTAGCATTGACTTTTTTTAGCTCGCTGGTGTTGAAAACAAGTAACAAAGGCGCCCTGTTTACAGTAATATTCCCTCAGCGCGTTTCTACCTTTAACACACGTATTCTGCAAACGTGTAGGGATTATAATAACGGCGGTGTTATAATTTACTAAGCAAACTTTCACCTGGTTAGGACTTGTCGGTACCTTCGGCTTCGTGCAAGTGGAAACTGCTACACAGACGTGAGTATGGCGGCCTGAACGGACATAAAAGCTTCAGTGGTTATTATTGAGTGGAAATGTTGTCAGTAACTGCCAATACGTGCTCCCTTTAGGTGGCGCTCTATGGCTCAGAATAACAGATGAGAACTATTTGTTTGTCGTTGAATGTTTCCTTAAAATATATTAATTAATTCTGTGAATACCTGACATACATGGTGTTGTCACCTCTGGTAAAATATATCATGTTACGAAAATTAAACAAATGTTTATTCAGTAATCACGACTGCGATCATAATTAAAGATGAGAAATGTAACACATACCACGTGACGTTAAGAATCCTGAGACGCATTGTCCACTGTTTTTCCAGTAAACAATTAGTATTATTCATTCATTTTCCTTCGGCTTAGTCCCTTTATTTATCATAGGTCGCCACAGTGGAATGAACCGCCAACTTATCCAGCGTATACCCTTCCAGCAATGTGCAGTTGCAGCACTAATGTGCTGTTGCACCTCTGCTTGGAGCTAGAATATAGCCTAATTAGTCTCTGTGTGTGTTTAATACAAACTCCGTGGTCCACTTAAGATGAGATTTCAAATCCCGGAAATTCTGCACGTAAAGGATAAATCACGTATGAACTGGTCAAGCAGTGTATTTCTGCAAATAATCACTCAGTTTTTGACACACATACTGTAAAGTACGAGTAAGCAGATCTAATTTCTAACTTAAATATGTAATTCCAAATTATTTATTTTAAAATACAAGTTAATTTTTAGATTTCAAAGATATACAAATATGTCAATTAATCTGCCTCGTCATTATGGAGGTACTTGGAGAGACAATTTCTTTCTGATGTGGTAGTTGATGTAAAAAAGTTTGAGAACCACTGATCTAACACATTGGCGAGCCACCCAAGAACGGTAAAGTCAAATACAGCAAAATCCAACATCGTTTTTCAGATTTTTTAAAAGTTGAACAAGCCATTTGAACCTTGATGTGTTTGTTACACTCAAAATATGTACAAAATATATAAAAACACAAAGAATGTGCAAAAGTTAGCTGTTTGTTCAAACTACTAATGTAAAATGAGCTGAAAACACAATTCTTGAGCTTTTTTGGGTGGACAACGTAATTTGTTTTAAATTCAATCCACTTAACTCTGTAAAAGCTAATACGCTGATGTAATTCCTTCATGTTCTCTCAGCACAAATTGAATGTGTGGAACCATGCAATGTTTTCAGTGTATGTAAAAAAACAAAGCCTTTACTGGTTAAAGGTCCCGTGAAATTAATGTAAAGATTATTAGATGTTAGAATCAGTATGTTAGCTTTAAAGATGTCTATATACTATAGTGTTAAAAAACAGCTACAAAAATTAGTGTTTAGAAAATATAAAACTGACATAAACATTTAAAACATTTTAATTGTTGCGTGAACTAACCCTTAATATTAAAACAATATATTCCAGAAGTAAATCGCCTCGTTTTCATCATTTTATTTAGAGTTCTAAACAGCATGATAGAAAAAGGAGATGCAGTCAATAGTAGATGCATCGTGTGTGATGGATTGGGATGTGGGCCATTTCTTTGTGGTGTTTTTTGGCATATGGCCACAGGTAAAAGTCAATGAGAGCAGAGTTGATGTGGCAGCTCTTCCCATCTTTCTCCTCCACCAGCTTCCACAGATGCTGTCGGATCTTCTCCACACACCAGATAGAGCAACCCCTGATCTCCACCTCTCGCCTCTCACCCGAGCTCAACAATTCACCTGTGACAGAAGAATTCAGTTCAAGTTTATTTGTCTACCGCTTTTCACAATAATTATTGTATTAAAGCAGCTTTACAAAAAGTGCACAGTATTGTGTTACAATCAAATTTGGAAAAAGTTAAGGTTATTACTTTATTACTTACAAATAAATATAATTAACTAGTAACTAAACTAAACTAACTAAAAATAGCTTTTAACAGTTAAAGTTATTATATATAAACATAGTTAACCTGCAGTTATATAGTATATAAATGATGTCTATGTGCTCGTTCAATTAAGTGTATTTGTGTATTAAGTGTATGTTTTGTCCTCTAAGTCCTCGATGGATAACAATCATTTATTTATTTAAAACCCCAAATCAGAAAAAGTTGGGGCAGTATGAAAAGCGCAAATGAAAAAATAAAATAGTGATTTCCAACTTTACTTTGACTTGTATTTCTTTGCAGACAATATGAACAGGTGAATATAATACAAAAGCAGCATCCAAGAAGGTCTAGTCCTTTAGGATGGGCCGAGGATCACCAGTTCCTCAAAGAAAGATAGGAAAACATTTGGATATTTCACCTTCAACAGTGTAAAACACCATTAAAAGGAATCTGGAGGAATTTCAGTGTGTAAAGGACAAGAGCGCAAGCTTAAGCTGAACAGCTGTGATCTCTGATCCCTCAGGTGGCACTGCATCAAGAATCCTCATTCATCTATAAGCGATATCACTACATGGGCTCAGGACTACTTTGGCCAACCTTTGTGAAGTACCACAATACTTAGTTTTATCCACAAATGCCACTTAAAACTGTATTGTGCCAAAAGGAAGCCCTATGTTAACAGTGTCCAGAAGCGAAATCAACTTCTCAGAGCTTAGAGGCATCTAGGATGGACCATCACAAAGTTGAAACATGTACTTTGGTCAGATGAATCAGCATTTCAGGTCATTTTTGAGAGAAATGGACGCCGTGTGCTGAGAATCAAAGAAGAAAAGGATCATCCAGACTGTTTCCAGTCCAAAAGCCAGGGTCTGCCATGGTCAAGTGCCCTTGGCAAAGGTAACATACACTTCTGTTCTATTAATGCTGAAAACTACATGGAGATTTTGGAGTATAATTTGCTGCCTTCAAGAAGACGTCTTTTCCAGGGACACCCATGCAAATTTCAACAAGACAACGCAAAACCACATTCTGCACACATTACAAAGTCCTGGCTGCGGAGGAAGAGGAAACAGATACTTGACTGGCCTGCCTGCAGTCCCGACCTGTCTCCAATAGAGAATGCATTTTGAAGCGCAAACTGCAACAACAACACCCCGTACTGTTGCCCACCTGAAGACTTGTTTGCAGGAAGAATGAGATCAAAATTACACCTGAAACACTTCATCACTGTCTTCGGTCCCTAAATGTCTTTAAAAGTTTGTGAAAAGTAATGGCAACATTAATCTTTGCACCACTGCATATAGCGAATTACAATTCTGATATAAGTCTCAAAAGAATTATTCTCAAAAAAGCTGTCTGCATTGCTGTAATGGAAACGTTTTCTTCACTCGTAATCACTTGCATGTTGCACTCTTTCAAATAGATTTTAAAACAGTTCAGAATCTTTAAAATAGGTCCAGACTAGCTAAGCAAACAAGCTACAAACCGTTTTTCAGTGTCTCCATAAGGGCATCGGAGTAGCGTAAAGCCCCCAGATACACCAGGCCCTGTGGGACCCTGTAGTCGGCGAACATGGTCAGGTAGTCGAGGTTTGGGATGTTGCCTTCTCCACGTGCCTCCATGATGCCCCAGAAGTCTGCCACAAGAATCTGAGCCCTCTTGTAAAACGAGATTCTCTTACCCTACAACAGCAAACAAATATATATATATATACCTATTAACAAAACATTGATATATATATAGTACTGTGTAAAAGTCTTAGACCACTAGTATTTTCACCCAAAAAAAGGTTTAAAGTCGGTTATTTTTATATTTAGAACTAACCGACTTTAAACCTTTTATGTGGTATAAATAGGAGTGGGGTAATCTATATAACAAGCTGTTTTTACTGTATAAAATATGTAACAGAGGCCAGCTAGCAAAGTGCTATGCAGGTAAAACTCACCCCTCTGACCTCAAAAAGGTGCTCTAGCAACAAACATGGTCTTTAGCCTTCTTGTTAGAGCAACCGACTCCCATACAAAGAATCGTTGGTTCGATCCCAGCTCAGAGTGGATTAGGTGCAGTAGGACCGGTGAGTTACACATGGGGGTTCGGGATGGGACTGAGGTTTAGGTGAGTGAGTGCAACGGGTGTCAGCTAGCAAAGTGCTATGCACGTAAAATCTCACTCCTCTGACCTCTAAAGGTGCTCTAGCAACATACACTAGAGGCCATGGTCTTTAGCCTCCTTTTTAGAGCAACCGACTTCCATCCAAAAAAAATCACCGGTTCCCAGCTCAGACCGGGTTGGGTACAGTAGGACCAGTGGGTTACAAATACATCAGATCTATGAAGAGTCCTTGTAAACCACTATTAATGTGTCCTGGTCCTGGTGATGACTTTAACCACAAACTCATTGGCACTTGTATTAAAAATGTCAAAATGCAGATTGTTTCCTTTGAGGGTTGGGTTTTATAATAATAATTTATTATGGAGTATGCAATTTTAATCAAATGCAATTTAATTAAACACAAGAAAACGTTGTTACTAGGGATGTAACGGTATCAGAATTTCACGGTACGGTAATACCTCGGTATGAATGTCACGGTACGGTATTTATTGAATCATTTACAGGAAAAAAAAAACTTTTGAAAATACTCCAAAAAAGTGCCAAAAGTGTCAATGACATACAAATTAGCCATCTATCTGTAAGCTTTGAAACACTAACTTCAATTTTAATAACAAAAAATTATTAAACCATGTAAAAAAATAAAGTTTCAATTTAGTATTGTTGAAAACTCATCTCATTCAACATTTAATCACTCACTCACTTAGATAGAGATGGGTTTAAAGGAAAATTATCATATAATTATAATCTGGTAAAAGCTGGTATCTCTGGGTATTTACAATGTCCCCTGCAACAGAAAAAAGCCCTCTCATTTGGGACTGAGGTTTCTGGGACAAGAGAGATATGACTTGGCCCTTGTTGACAGCAATGGGGTAAGGTTGTGCATTGTTTTTCCCCCACTTGAGAAGACAAACCATGAGTGAGATAGAGATCTCATGTCTGCATTAATCTGAACAGTGTGCTGTGTTTCTGCAGTCCCCATGACTGATTATTAGTCGTATTCCCCAACTTGCAGGCACGTGCACACATAGGGCTCAACCTGTGC